CACCGCAAGGAAGGTTGCTGTGGTGTAAGACTAAGTCTTCCCCACGGAGCCTTGGGTAGTAGCGCACCCACGATCCTGAAGCCAAGGGTGAGACCGTCGGGAGAGCCGCCGAGGTACATTTCCTCAACTCCCGCTTACGTGAGTCTCATCTGGATCTGACCGCCGGTTAGCAGGTAAGCCGTGCGGCAGAGACGTGGCGGTACATCCACATGCGCGGTCCCACCGTTGACATATGAACGGTACCACGGGCGGTCGAGTGTTAGCCCAGAGGGCGTAGCGAACCCTTGGCTCGACCAATAATGGGTATGGACTCGTGGTGGCAGTGGTTGTGGCCAAATGCTGGCAAGAGGGCTGGATTAAGGAGGACAAAGTCCTCCGAGTGGCCTTCGGCGGGTGAGCAGCGTCCCACCTGCTCCGGATACCGTCCCGGAAGACGGAAGGGCTTGGAAAACGCCCCGTTCGACCTGAGACGATAGAGCCTCCTGCGGGCCAATAATTAAGGTAACCGGTACTGAGTACCGAGTGCGCTGGTTGGGCATATCCCAACTCCGATGGCTTCTAGGGTTGCCCGGGCGCTGTTTATGGTTTCATACCTCAGGAAAGCTCCCGACACCAAGAACCAGACTACATGTACACTTTAATTACGATTTTACGGATTTTCCCGGAGTTCCAGGGGAAGGTCTGGTGTCCTTCCATCTCCGACATATATATACATTAAACAGTTAGACTAATAGGAAGCGCACGTACTGTACACGCTTGTTTGCTTCATTTACACAACCATATTCCTCTTTTCTCTTATTTGCTATTTCATCGACAAACCAGGAAGTCGATCGTAATAATACAACTGCATAATAATACAACTATTATATGTAACAAACATCGCTAACCGAACATTATTCATCGTGGTTTAAATTTGCGATTAAATACAGATTTAAATATGTTCATTCGTTCGTTATGCAAACTAATAAAGTTAAGTAACAAATTGGATTTATCATAAATTTCCCACGTATTTCTAAAGTAGGTTCAATACTTTGTTTCGCGTTTCGAAACGATGAATATGTAAAATGACGTAAGAATTATTGATTGTTAGAATTATCCGATTGTATCTCGTATTTGATCGTAAACTTCCGTACTTTATAAAATGAAATGTAACAATGTATTAAATCTAGTCGGAAAATAAATCGCAGAGTCAGAAATGCCAGCAAGCCGAATGACGAATTACTTCGTTTTCTGTTATGAGTAGATAGGAGGTTACTTAGGGCGAATACTGGTATTGTCGTGTTGTCGTCCGTCTCAGTGGCCGTATTTTTTACAATACGGACAAGCACGCCTCAATTGCTATCGGTTTAGTGGATAATTTTAATAATTGACTACTGAGATAGTATTATGGAGTGTAGTTTTATCTATATTTAATAAGAGGGACATACTTACTTTAAGAGGTAGTGATATCAAGTTGATGATGTTTGCGTAGTGATAGCCAAAGGAGGTTTTTGATGCCTAAAAATTGGTATCGAATGAATAGTTAGTGAAGAGGATTATATTACTTGCTTACTTACTTAGTTTATCTAGTAATTGGCCATCGACATACTACTGTAGTTTAGCTTATCTTTAGATTGGGGTTATCTTTAGATTAGGCTAGTTTATTATATGGTGATGAGTTAGGTACAGTGACTATATGTCACCCTGACAAATAGATATTTATGTGTATATTTACTTCCTACTTACTTATAATTATATATGAGGGACGTACTTACTTTAGAGGCAGTGACAAACTAGTTGATGATTGCTTGTAGAAAGCTTATATGAGTTAGCGGAGGGTAAAAATTTCTGCAATGAAAGCCGGGTACTCACTGCAAATGCTTACACAGGAGGTTTATTATAAGTGATATCCGTGGTGATTTGAATGATTATTAAATGGAGGTTATGTGGAGACCTGTAAGTACTATTCTTACTCTACTTATGTTAATTGAAATAAAAAGGTCTAGGAGAGTATTAGAATATACGCACCATGTCGCGTTCGACTCTGCTGTTGTCACGACCGGCATTCTTCAAATCCGATGGACTGACGATGCAGATAAAGATGTGGCGGCACTCGGCGACAATGTATATCGCTGAAGTGCCTTTTTTTTTATTAACGTGGAGGAAATCCGCACGGACACCAGGTCGCTTCTGGGGAAAAGCGGCGTGGTAGTGCCGGACTCCAACCGACTAAAACCTCC